GGTATCACTTTTGACGCTTTTCGATACGTTCCCTTCCGCATTCTGCCCCTTATTCGCATTTACCTACTTTGGAGTTGGTAGTAGCATACAACTGAACACTAATTTTGGTGAGTAACGGGTGCATTTCAAAGCCGCAAATGAACTCAGCCATAAATTTAAGATTACACAGTAAGCGCATATCAATTCTGCGACTGGGTGAAAACGCCTTGAGTGTTACTCTGTATTGATTTACTTCACTCGGAAAGAATTAATTCTGGTATGCACATATCCAAAAGAGGGTTTCTTAGTGCTATCTTTAAATAGAATTCCACCTATACACCAAGGTAAGTACGATTTCCGGGGATCCAAATAAATGAATTTCACTTAGATCACACAAGAGAAACACGAGCATGTTGTATAATTTCGCACTATGTTATTGGAAGCTGTGAGCGATACTACTGACGAAAATTCACCCTGTGCCTACTGTAGTGGGGCCGGACTGATTATAAGTAGAAGATTCAGACCACTTTTATTTTTCAAACCTCTTTAAAGGTTCATTTTAGGTCATTTGAAAGACAGTGTAAAGAAACTGCATAAACTTTATACATTGCCGTGTGTGTTTACATGTGGTTGTAGCTTATTGTCTGACACCTAGTCAATCGTTGATCAGGTTTGCTATTGGCGACGAGGTCACTAACGATCGGTTTCTGTCAAATAATTCTAAAACTATAGTGTTTGATGTCATTTTGAATGCGGAAGATAGTTGTTATATGCCTGTGCAAATTTCACTAAACCCTTAAAATGATAATTGTCTGCTGTTAACGTGTAAAAGGGATAGTAGAAAATCTGCTGGGGTTGATTTGGTGCTACTATATTAATCCTCCTAAGAGGAACACAGAGTACATCGAACTGAAACCCGGATGGGAAATAACATTATGTTTACTGATTTCTCGCCAACAGATTAGTTAGTTATAGCTTAGAATCACACTGTGAATAAATACCAACTGCCCACATCTTACGAAGCCTTTGTTTTTTTTCTACCTTACTCACATGACAGTGAATTGCTGAGTAACGCAATATTCAATAAGTAACTTAATCATGAATAAATAAAAATTAAGCAGAACTATCGCTGCTGATTTGCATGGATTTCGTTCCGTACTTATGGTCTGCTTAAGTTGTGAATTCCAAATAATAAAATTTGCTTCCGTTCACAATACGATCCACCAATCGTGTGGAGATTAAAATAAGTCCAAAACATCTGGAAACATAAGAGTCCCCCTTAGATATTTTTGCAGCACTGAATCGATGTATTGTGCGTCATGAAAGGTCCGTTTTTTACCACAGCAACGTGCCAATTAGATACGATAAATCATTTCATATTTCATTTTCACTTTCATTCTGCTTCCTTTTATTGAATTTTCAAAGGTTCAATTTTCAGGAAGGGGGGAGCGGTTAATCAAAGGCCTGCCATACAACACACATGATGGGGAGAGACACGCGGTGGGGGGATTTGAACACACATCCTCCGGGGGCGATAATTGGTGACGTTACCACCGGGCCACCACCGCCCATAAGTACTTTTATCCTGAAAGAACAAACTCAGAAATGTCTACCATTTAGTTTTAATAAACAATATTGGTCTGGTCGGATGAATCGTTGAATCGCGGTCTGTTTGGTGCCATCAATGAAAATAAGTACATAGCAGCAGGCGTTGCAATTGAATGCAATTGAATTAATCATATCGAATCCTACGTGCCTGTAGATATGCATATTGTCATATTAAAATTATGCTAAGTGAGTGACAATATGTGACTGCTTTAAAAGCGCCGATTTTCTTAAGTGTTCGCAACACAGGATTTCTGCAACTAACAGTCACTATTGCTTTGCAATCTATGGGTGGTGAACTCTATAATGTAGTGCCCGCTGAGATAATACCAACTTTCTAGTATACCAATCCTTTTGCATACTAAGGAAGCCACTTGATCCAACTGATTATTGCTTTGTTTTTATCGGATGAGCTTCGAACATTCTGATTTATAATGTTACTTTTTTTACACAAGCCCATTCTATTCACATCGAAAACTAGCGTAATATCCTTGAATTACGAGTTTCTTTTGATGGGAGTTTATTATTACGCGTTTATTTTATTTTCAACTCTCAAAAATTTATTTTCCAGTATTTAAGGACTGGTGCACAGATGTTTCTTATTTGAGGGTAATTGCCACTTATACGTTCCCCACCCTCTATGATGGCACTAGAAACTGGATATCCATTGGTTTGTTGAACACAGTAAACCATCGATCGAGACCTTGCTTTTGGCTAACTGGCGGTGTCTCCGTGGAATGCTGAATGATATTCACTTCATGATTGTTTCATTAATAATGATTGACGTATATCTTTCCTGTTTTTTGCTACATTCTCATTCAAATGCTACCGAAACCAACTTTTAACCAAATAGAGGAAGCTTCGAACTCCATGAGGCTACTGATGTGATGCATAATTATTCTGTCTTAGTTACTAGTTTTGAAAGAAAATCTCCAATACTTTATTTTTAAAACTGTTTTGGTATTAACCTTGGCTAAGCAGTGACATTTGTCACATCCTTGATGGAACTCATCAGGAGTGCGTGCTTGCCTCCTTCCCTCCGTCCTGGTCGAAAACCGAACAGTAGATCTATAAGTTCCGAGTTGAAAACTAGACTGCTGATTTGCACAGTGCGCACCCAACACCTTGAACGCATGACCATATTGATGGAATCTAATCATGACGATATGATGCTCATTCACCGAATCCCTGAAAAATAAAGTTGACTAAGCCAAAGGAGGAGAAAACAGCAATCCAGTGCCCGTTTGCCAAAGAGCGTAAAAGTGAATTTGCAACTAAATGTCTGAACATTTTGTGGAATTATTGACCTTTCGAAGAGTTAGATCCAAATGAGGAGAACAGTAAACAAGTCCCATTGATATTTATTTAAATGCTATTTGAAAGCTACCTTAAACATCGTTTCAAAGTTCCAAGTCTAACAGCAAGTCTAAAAGTTCCAGTCTAACAGTCTAACAAGGATATACTGCTCGGTATCCGTGTTAAATCCGTACTAATATCTAGGCCAATGTTGAGTGATGTGCAAACTCAGAAACCAAGTTCAAACGTTTTTGAAATTTATCCGATACTGAACAATAGAAGATTGTAATGCGGTCGTGTTACAATTGCATAGTCACCACACCGCAAATCATGGCATTTTCCATGGATGTATCCATGAACCGGCCAAATGAACAATACCATCCGAGGACCAAAAGTTCGAACGAGAGATTTCACCACTCCGTGAAGAGAACAAGCAAAAGGTGACAGAAAATCAGAGCTCACAGGTGTCAGTACAGTGCATGGATAGATAAGACAGAGGTCCGATCCAACTAGGCAACCCATGAGAAAATTAGAGGGCAAAGTGCGTCACACGATAACAGGGTCAGGGACAGCGGTCATTCATGACGAACGGGAAGTGCATATCGTGACACCAGATATCGGGGGATCTTTAATTGTTTGGATCGGTTTTCATGGAAAAAATGACGGTTTTGTTTAACTAATGGCCTAGTCATTGTGCATGAGTTTCCACAAAGCTATAACAGTATGCATTCAATCATTTTAGTCAACCTGGTCTTAAACGTCCTATTGGAAAATTTTCTCCTTGCAGTTTAGTTCAGAAAGTTCACAACTTATCTGGCTTACGGAAAACGGGCACCCAAATGAATTTCAATTTCAAGGAGTTCAAAAGATCAGGGGAATGTGTTTGCACAGTGTATCTAGAATTATGTTGCTGCATCTATACACATACTGTGGATACATTGTGCAAAATGCTGTTTCTTACTTCTCTATTCAAGTTAGTGTCAGGAAAACCATGTTTTTAGTTTTAAAGATTATTGATTTACCAGGATATCAACGTTCGCATGTATCATGCTGGGTTTATCACTATATAAAAGCGAGTATCTATCAGTTAGTATGTACACGTTTAGAATGGTAATAAATAAACGACTGTTTAAAATCCAGAATGACTGTTTCCGAACCTTACACGATTGTCATTTTCCGGTTTTCCTTGGCCTTAGTTTGCGTGTATCTGATTCCCAACTATGTTGGTTCGTGTTACGAACTTAATATCGTGATTTTTTGCCTGATGCTCTTCAAAGTTCACCCCGCTTTACGCAAAGCGAGTTACTTTAGTTTTACCTATACGGTAAGCTGCATAACTCACAAACAAAATGTTTTGCTTCGCCTGTCAGTGCGGTGCTGATCATATGACCTAATAAAACTAGCCAATTACGTGACTTTTCTCATTGTGTTGAGGTACAAACGCCTGATGCAATTGCAGTAAGACATACGGTCCGTGCGGTAGTGTTAGTCACGATACCTGATTGTACATACATTTAAAAAGACACTAGTTTACGAGTGAAGTTTTACGTCTACTTCAGGCAAACGTGGCTAAGTAAGCGCTGTCCGCTGTTGAGACATTTTTCTGTTTTAAGATTTTTTTTATATCGAGATATCGTAAGTTAATCTATGCAATAGGTCCTTTTCTGACCTCTACTTGACCACAAATTTAGGGGGGATTTACGATGCAATTTTGCGTTTGGAAACGACTGCATCACTGCATCACAGGCACTGTTTATTAAAACTGAAGGTTACCGTTAATTTCGAAAACTGCTCAACTACGACAATCTTTACAATTTCAAGATATACTCATATATATATACTCATCTAAAAGAATATGATTCCTTTTACTGGTTGTTTTCAAAGATTCTATAACCTACAAGAGTCCATCGCCTGCACACAGGGTTTCTATGTGGTGGATATGGATGCGATGAACGTTACTAATGTGGTGATCCTTGACCACTCGTACCCTGTTAACTCACCCAGTCGATGTGAGGATTTTGAACCAGTTTTCACTGCACATAATTTTCGCTTTACAAAGGCTTCATTATCTTGATGATGTCGTCCTTCAATCAACCATCTTGCAGATCTCAGAGAAAAAAATGTCAAAACGCATATCAGCGGACGAGCTCATTCAAATCTTCAAACGCTTAGACAAAGACGGAAACGGTGAAGTGACAAGAGAGGAATTGGAAAAAGGCTTGCTTGCAGCCGGAGTGCATGCCAATAGTATTCAGGTATGTGAACCGATGATTGAGTATCTATTTGTTTACATTTGTGACATCTCACACTCAAAAAATCGATTCAATAACAACTTTGTTCTTCGTTTAAAAAGATGGCCAAGTACCTGATTGATTGACTGTAGTAAGCCACAGCAACATGATCATATGTGGTAGACCTGCACATGAAACCAGGCAAAGTGAGCTGTTTCACTGCATATTTCTTCCTGTTTCATCATACACCATATTTGCTTTCTTTTTCATTTTAAGAACAATCTATGAAACAGTTTATTGTACCCGATGCATTTAAGGAAGTATATTACTATTATGAATTTGTTAGCAGTTGTTTTGAATTGATTTTATGGTTATATTCTAGTTTCATACCTCAATTAAAATTTAAATATTTCTCCTAACTGCAAAAACAAATCAAGCGTGTTATGAATGATTTGGATCTAAATGGGGATGGAAAAATCACATTTGGAGAATACAGACTCGCACTTGGATTGACAAATGAACCGTTGTCGGAGTAAGTTCACCTTAGTGAAGATAAATTAAAATTTGGATGAAATAAACGACTCATTCCAAATATTTTAACTAATTATATGTTTCTAATCGGAAGACTACTTAGAACGTGTTCTGCAGCTATCAATATGTTTTGAAAGTATTTCGTTGAGTGAATCAAACACCATCAGTCGTTCCGTGGCTCCGATCCAAAAGGAGTCTTCGTGTAACCTAGAACGGGACAATTAGTTGAATCGGTCGAGTGATATCTCCTAATCAAGCGGGTTCCAGTCACGGAAATGTTTTCAGGTCAAAAGTCTAGACTATTTTTATCGATTTATTTGTTCCCAGATTTGACAATGTGAGAAGAGAACTGGTGCTCTTATCTTTATTTTCTAGCAACGTAGAGATATTTTTCCTTTATGATTCAAATTCGCTCTTCACTTTATCATCAGAATCATACCGATGTGCAACACTTCATCACTTTAGCTGATTGCAGTTAATAATGAAAGGAACGATTATCGGGTTTTATTGAGCTTACTTCATGAACAAATTAACTCTTTAGCAAATTTCATACGTACCACCAGTTGTTTTCTTCATTTACCTCCGATAAAGTTCATAGGACGTTAAAGTTTTCAGTTCCTCACTAGATGCACTTTTATTATCCCAATCGATCACGCAAGTGTGAAGGTCGATTGTGGTCTTCACCTGGGACATCTTTCATCTCCAGTTTTGTAAAGCTGTGAAAAGCGGTCAAGGCACATCCGAAGTATCCAAAATGACAACTAGATTGCGATGAAAAACTAGAAGTTTGAGGTAATTCACACCCCACACCTTACATGTTGCCTGTTTTGCGTGGTGGCAACATTAGGGCGACTTATGAATAGGATTTGTAACTGAAAATTGGTTTGCAAAATAGATACGCACACGGGATTGAATATCTGGCACTGAATTTTATCCCGTGCGGTAGCTATGCAATCTGTGAAACAAGCAGAAATGCAGGCCGTTTTTACTTCAACCTGCAGAATGACCCTGAAGTTCGCAACAAATATAATATACATTTTTAGTGTAGTTTTTCGTTTATTGCGCACTCTGAGTTTAAATAAGAAATCTGACAATCGATCGAACCATTTGGTTTATTCATCATTTTTCTTTTCAAATCTAACTTGGAACTATGAAGATGGAAACAACTGTTCTTTACCTTGGACAAGGATGGTTCTGGATCCCTAGATAAATATGAACTCAAGGCAATGTTTGACGAAATGGGTATGCCCATCAATCTTTCCGTCCTTGAGGCCTGGATCGATGATCATGATGTAAACGGAGACGGAAAGCTCACTTACGAGGAATTTCTCGGATTTATCGCGGAACAAGCGGATTAGTACTGTGCTGTTCATGCTTGCCTTTGTGGTTGTACTATTTCGGTGCAGGAAGTACAAAAGAATTGTGAGGAACTTGGTTGAAAATGCCGCAAATGCCTCCTCCGCACCATTTGACTTCAGCATCGGTCTCTCCAAATTTGCGTGTGCGCACCTTCAGGTCCTGTCTGTTCCTGTAAAAGAAGCCAAGATTATCAACATTTTTTATTTTGTATACAGAAACTATATGACCGCTCATGAACTTGCTTACTTTTTCTAAAACAGTACTTTTAGGTACTGAAATATGCTTACCTCAATAATGCACAAAAGGAACAAATGGCGTAACCTGGATTTTGTGGTTGATTGATGAATTGCATCTACTGATTTGTAGCTTAGGAAGAATCAACTGAAGATAAACATCTGTTATGTAATCGTACAACACTTTTGCCGCTTTACTTGACAAAGCAATTTAAACATAACGTTATCATGAACAAACTAGTTTCAGTGCACAGTCTCTCCCTCTTTAGCGTCTTAGATAGCCTAAATCGGAATAAGATCTGAGACAGAATCGCGTCACCTAGTCGATATTTATTAGAGTACGGTGCGATTGTAGTTGCTTTGAGCATGCATTAATAGTGTGAAATGCCGTTCTTCTCAGAGTTCTGTGTATGTTGCCATCACGTGTGATCCCCACGATGCGTTAACCGCTTCAAGCACATGACATCGGTAAGAGTGATGCCCAACCAGTACTGAAACAAGATTAAAAACAGAGTGAAATAATGAAATAAAACAATAGTTATAGGTAAATTTTGTGATCTGCGTCTCAATTCTACAAACCTGAAGCAAACGCAGTTTGCCAGTATTACCGTTGAACCCGTATCTTGGATTATTGCCGTCACTCAGAAACACCCGATACCACGCTGGACCTCTAGCAATTCTTCAGCTGTTTTGAGAGAAATTTGACAAACATACAGTTCAGTTAAAACCCCCGTTGTTTTTCATTTAGATCACATTCATTAACGAAGAGCTTTATGCACCATGGATCGGGGAATTTTCAGCTCATATATAACATAACATATAACAGTGAAAAGCATTGTTACGATGGAGGCCAAAATAGAAATTCTATTGCTCAGTCTGGTGTACTTGACAATGTGCTTGACAAGCTATTTCTTGAAAGTGGAACACCCTTAAAAAGTGATGGTCGATTCAGATATATAGGCATGATCTCTACATATTAAGTTTCGTATACCGCATAACGTTGGAAACGATCTGCTTCAAAATGCATAAACTGGAACGTTGATCCTAAGGCTCTATAGTTTAGCAAAGATACGTAAAGATGAAATGTCCCTCCCACCGATATAGGAAACTTCCCTTGTCAGACCATGGCTAAGCGGCCATCAGAGCTGAAATGCTGTAAAACCAGTATCCTCAAGTTTTGCTGCGTCAGCTAATGAAGAACTGTGCCTCCCTTTCGGGATGCACCATATTCCACATCCTTTACTAACCATCATATCATCCACTACCGAAAAGGTCAAAGCAAATCTATTGGTTTGAGGAAGAATTCATTACCAGGTGCAGACAATATTCACCCCCCTTATCTGCTTGACAAATCAAATATCCGAGCCACCAGCCTTCCCATTCGGGAGGATGTTCAATCAGACTACAATCCCACCGTCCTAGAATCGGGGAGTAATTTCGCCCAGTTACAAAGTCGGTGGCCGTAGCGATTTCGCTAACTACCGCCCTGTAACCGTCCTTCGAGTGTTGTCCCAATTCATGGAGTCCACAGTAGCAGATTCCTTGATGGAACACCTAGAAAAGCTCAACGTTCTGTCGCCGAACCAATATGGAATCCGACGGAAGCGATACTGCGCTACCAATTCCCTCATCGCACGAGAAGAATGAACAAAAGCAGTTGACGCGGTTGGCGTTATTTACCAAGAATTCTCAAAAGCGCTTGATCGTTTTAACCACGACTTCTACTGCGGAAGCTATATAATCACGGGATTTGGGGCTTCATGCTTGATTGGATCGAAACATTTATCCGAAATCAGACCGTATCGGTTCGTGTTTCTGATTAGCTTTCCATTCCTACGAACGTTACCCGTAGGGTTCCACAAGGACCTGTGCTTGTCTCGCGACTTTTGCTAACGTTTATAAACGACCTACAGAAGGCTCTTGGGCCAAAATCATTACTTTTTGCAAATGACACCAAAATTTGGAATACAGTGACGGAACCAGCTGGCTCGCTGGTACTCCATGAAACGCCACGAGCCTCAAGTGAGAAGGACCTGGGCATCATCATTCAAGAAAACGTAAGCTGCTCGCTGAACTGCGCGGAGGTGTCGAACGCAGCGGTAAAGAATATCGGTTTGCTTAAGCGAGTATTTGATCGGTTTGAGTCAGCGCTTATCTCATTCTATTATCCGCATACACTCAAACACTCACAAAGTACGCCATGCCATCCAGGCATGGAATCCATGGGTGAAATGTGATTGCAAAATACTGGGGCTTCCACAAAGGATGGCCACCAAAATGGTTAAGGGGTTGAATCATTATTCATACACAGAGAGACTGAAGTCTCTGAGGTCATATTCCAATCACTACCGGCATCAGAGAAAATATGATTATGGTATATTAAATAATGCACAACTCAAGCCACCTGTGTCGCCCACTGCAAACATTAGCACCCAACGTTCATCTTAGACCATCTGTTGTTGCGAAGTCGCGCATTTCGTTCAGTCCTAGGCCTCTCTTGTGCTTTCATCTCAAAGATAAATTGCTTGTGTCCGCAATATCTCTGTGTGTACTTATTTACCTGTTCCTGTGGTACAAGTTATATTGGCAGCGAGAGAAGATGCTGATATGAACGAATCCGCCAGAACCACTCCGTCGTCAATCTGAGGGGATTAGTTATCGCATTCTGACGCAAGCTTATGCATTAAAATCAACCTAAAAATTCCCGAAGACAATTTGTAAGAACACTCGTTCCTCTATTGCCAAAATGAAACAGGACGCAGGCACACACACAAACACCCACCCTTATCCCAACAAATGCGTGTGTGATGACCAAAGTTTGAGCAAAATCCGATCACTAATTGGAATGTTGATTACTCGTCTTCCCAAATAGTCATGATTTCTTTCCCCTACAAAACTTTTTGACATAAACTGTGACGTCTTAGCCTGTAGATGAATCACCGTAAAAGAGCTGACCTAATTTACTTAGATTGGAATTTGGCATCAATTAGTCATTTCAAGGAGCCACGACTTTTACGTTTTTGAACTACCATAAATGCCATACGAAGCACTTTTCCTCCTACGAAACAACCATTTGCACAAAATGGAGATTTTTTATTTGTTTCATTGGCGTCTGAGTAATCTACAAAGTAGAAGCGCTCGAAACTAGTCTAATCTCATGTATCTATTACACTTGACCGTCATCTCTGTTTAATAAAGCATGACCAATCAATCATAATAAAACCAAGTCCAGTAGAATGCTTTTAGTTTCAATGAAGTTTCTTTGTATCTCTTAATGGTGAGAGCAATTTGGATTTTCAACTTGTTTTCCATCCAGAGTTCAGACAATAGTACATATACATTCGAGGACAAACTACTTCAACAATGAAAATTCAAAGGTTCTTTATTGCTATATTTAGGGTTAAATGGGCTATACTATTCACAAATTAAGGTTTTGTGGTATCAAATCAAGATATCCCGTTATCAGTTGAAGTTCGCCCACTATCAAATTCGGATATCCATAAGGACTTTGAACTAATCAGGTCCGTCAGGTCAATTCACCGCTTCAGCAATGATGGGATGTTTTCCATTAGAAAAAATAATTTTTCAGAATTCCGTAGAAGAGTGGGCGTTGGATGGAAGCAACTGAATTAATAAACCTTAAATTGTATGACTGCTGGCAGTCTCTGTGCTTATTGGTTATCAACCATAAATCACTGGGAAATTTGAGTAGTGCATGCGCCTGGCAACTATGATGACGTCAACGTCTTATGTGAGCATGTGGATTTGATAGTCCGATAACTGAGATAACAAATGATTAGAAAACTTCAAACGAGACAATAGAGCAAATGGAAATTACAAAATAGCAAACAAGCTTGTCTGTTCATCGTCTGAGTATGAACAGGGAAAGGGTACACCGGGAACAGGGGTAGGAAAATGGTGGTTATGATAGGGTACAAGTTCCACAATTACGGTTTCGATTCAGTTAAGTTCAGTTTGTACATCCATTGATCATGCATCTTAGTGCGGCAGTTTTGGTTGCTGTCTTTTGGCTATCCACTTGGATGAATAATAGAAGAAAGACAGGAAAGTTGAAATTAGAGTCAAAGAGAAAATTGAGACCTCCAAGAAACTATTGCTGAAACAAATTGAGAATATGCATAAACTCCGCTGTTTAGCACACTCAACCATATCATTCGTTGTCTCTAATCATCAGTGACCATCATCCCGAGGTCCCCAGCCAGGGAGCCTAACGGGACCTATGTAACCCAGACTCCTGGTTAGGGTTTTCACACCCTCATGCCAGGTCTTAGCTTGATCACCCTTAACCTTTATCCAACCGCTACCTGTCTCGGCGAACATCGCTGGCCGTGGCAACCTATCTGGTGGCATGCGTAACACACGCCCCAACCAACGCAATCTATGGAGGTCGATCAATTGCTCCAATGGGTGACCGCGGTTACCTAAAACTCTGCGCCTAACCTCAGCATTGCTCGTCCGGCTGCCCCAGATTCGTGCAATGCTGCGTAGACAGCGGTTTTCAAACACCGACAGTCCATCTGAATCCTGTTTTTCCAATGGCCAAGTTTCTGCGCCATATACCACAACTGGCCGAACCGCCGCAACATACACTCGACCCTTCATAGATGTTGCGACGGTGCCACAGATGTCTCAAGTTGACAAATGCCAACCGAACATTCTGTATGCGAGTTGACACTTCATCCACGATGTGTCCACCGGGTGAGATGTAGCTGCTCAAATAGCAAAACTTATCCACTTGCTCTATT